ACAATAGATGTACAACATTCCCCAACAGCCACTGGGCTTGTTAAAGGCAGGACATTAACTCTTAGGAATACACGAAAGTGCTGAAGTCTGCCAGATGACAAACTGAGGCATTCACCACTGATAATTATGGCAGAAGAAATTTCACAAAGGAAAATCTCAAAGAGGACTCTGAAGGCACATAAATAAAGGGTAGCTAAGACTATAAACAGACTAGAACTAAAAATACACTTTGAAACAGAAAAAGAATACCACCAAGTTCCAGGGACAGAAGTGAGCCTGAGATAATTGAAAAGGAGAGTTGGGTTGAAATTATTCTGGGTTACAGCAGGGAAGGCAGAGATCTGGTGATTTCAATCACTGGCTTGTCACAGGAGGTGAGCAGCCAGGGCAGCTGGACTGGATAGTCACATCGCAGCTACATGGACATGAGCAAGCAAAGAAACCCCACAGGGCTGGAAGGACACAGCCTTCATATTTCTGGGGCTACAAAGAACAGAAGACAAAGCAGACCTATTTCCTCCATCAAATAAACCTCCATAAACCTCCTCGGTTGTTTATGTGTTTACACAGTTTGTATACAAAGTACTTTCTGTCTGAGCTTTCCTAGGATCCCATTTGCCTTTTCTAAGGCTGCAATATCTTGGTGAGTAAATATATTAATCATCCCGTGACTAATATTGCCTTTCTCCACTTGGCATGTCTGACCAAAGCACTCCTAAAGCAGAAATTTGTTACTCACCCCTCCTTATTGAAAACTGAGGCAAAGCATTAATTTAATTTTCTGTTCATACTCAGATTATCTTTAATCTTCATCATAACCTTCCTACTCAGTGGCCCCATTTCTTTCCTTATCTTTTATTTATCTTGCTTATGAATCACAGGCTAAATAAGGTACACCTGAATTCATCTGATTCCTATTCCTAAATTCATTTCATTCTTCCTGCCTGACATTATAAAGCCTCCTCTGGACTGGGAATGCCTCTGAGCTTTATGTCATCAGCAAATGTTATTAGTGCATGCTTTATTTTGGTGCTCAAGTTACTAGTGATATTAAATAATATCTGTATGAAAATCAACATTGCCCAGAGTCAGCTCCCCATACACAGCATCCAGTTTTTCTAATCTCTAGTGCCCTCGTAATCACTCTATTATGTAGTTTACTGAATGACTTCCAGGTTCATGTGATCTACTGTTTTTTTATGGTTGAGGAAATCACTCATCTTACCAAATAAAGATATCTAGGATAATCTGCTTTTATTAAAAAGAAGTTAACAATTATTCCATTTTCCATTTACCTCCAGGTCTTTCCTGAGTCCCTCATTCAAAACACATTATAAAGCTTTACACAGAGTTAGGATTAAATCAGCAAGCCTCCATTTACCTAGTTGTTTTTTTTTTTCTTTGAAATATTGGTTTTATATTTGCTGCTCTCCAGTCATACAATACTTCTCCTGACTCTACAGTTTTATTTTAAATCTTTCCTAAGTCTACAATATCATGCAGCAGTTCTTTCTCAGTGTTGTGATGGGAATGATTCTGTTCCAGCTGTCTTGAGGCCCTTGATCAATCTCAATCTTGCTTCTGTCACAAGAATGGCATTTTCTTCTTTGACACCTCAATTCACACTGATCATCCTGTCTTTGACCTCACACTCAACATCCTCTTTTTTCCTGAAAACTAAGGCAAGAGATACATTTATTCTTGAGCCACACCTATCTTTTATACCCAGCTTATCTTTTCTTCAGAGTGGCCTTACTTCTATGATGATTTATTTAGAAGATTGAAAAAAACACATGATGATTTCCTACTTTTATTCTTTCCTTGATGTTAGAAAAAATTATTCTTAAGGTACCAGAAGTGAAATGTTATATTAGAACTATTGCATCTGACTTGCCTTAGCAAAGTGGTGACCTTTCTATGACAGTCACTCCTATGAAACATGCAGGATGAGCATGTGATATTGCAAGGCAACATTAATATTTAAATGCAACACTAATCTCAGAAAGACTTTTCCATGCCGTAACTGGCTGAGATGGCAGGATCCACAGATGGAGATCAGTTAACAGTGATATGAAATTGAGAATAGCTTCGTTAATCTTTACTATAAGCCATATGCCTTGAAGTCAATAGAATTATTTCAGTTTTACACCACCATACACTGCAATAAAAGTCTGGCATTTTTCTCCCTCATAAATGGTGATGATTGCATTTTAAAAAATTCATATCTTCATCTTATTCATGGAGCAAATATCTTAAGCTGCCATTTAGCTTTGACATCCATGCTAATGTTCTTACATGTGGAGCAGGCGTTGTGCCATATGTTCATAGCATTTTGGCCTCCTTCATAGTGCACATGGAATTTCATCCCCTTTTTCATACAGAAATACCTTCTCTTCTGTCTCAGTGGTGATCCCCATGCACCCCATCTACTTTAGTGGGAAAAAGCGAACTGGAGGACACATCCTTTTCCTCATGGCCATACTGCAGGAGCAGATTGCTTATAGATCTAAGATGAGGGGCTCTCCTGGAGCCAGTGACACCTTATCGGTGCTGTGCTGCAGTCAGAGGTCTGACAAACTACTGCTCTCCTGGAGCTCAGCAGCAGTGAACTCAGCTTGGGTTGCAAAGCCTACCTCTGACACTTCTGCTAGTGGTACCTAAGTTAGGCAGGCATGCTTACATGTGAGGAAGATAACCAGACTACCATCTACCAGGAGAACAAAAAATGCATCCAGCTTGTCCCTCTATAGAGAGCATTAATGACCAGAGCATTAATGCTACATTGTACTACATTTGCATAAACATTCAAGCATTGTTAAACTGCAACAAAAAGGGAATTCTACTTACAAAAACTTTCACTGTGGAAAAGTCAATCTTGTCTGTTCCTTCCCTTTTGTATTTGCACAGTATGGTGCTACGATCTGTTTTTTTGGTAATATTTTGGACGCTGAACCATATCTTTTTGGTCTGTGCACCGCTCATATATGACAGATAAACATCTACCTCAGTTTTAGAAATATTCAAGTTGTCATTTTCTTTCTAAATGGAAAAAAGTGAAGATAATAACCAGTCACTAAATACAGTAAGAAACAAAATGATCCCCAACAACTATTTTAAATAAGGAATTACAGGTTATTACTTTCAAACTTACATATATTTTTAATTCCAGATCAGGATCCAGTTCAGTGTGTAGCTGGTAGTTAATGAACACTGGGTCAGGGTGATAGTGTAATTTGACACATGGTATAAAGGTAGTTTCCACTTTTAACATCATATCAACAACTTTACCCTCTGCTGCATGGCTCAGGCTTGGTGTTAAATAATGATATTCAGATTCATTTCCAGGACACTTAGAGACCTAGAAATGCAATAGCAAAGCTGTAACAATCATCAAGTACTCAACAATGGGTACAATTACAAACGGGCATACTCAAAATCATCTTAAAGTCTTCCTGACTTCACAAAGGTACCTGGTAAACCTCTTCTCTGCGATCAGGGCTCCATGTAGAGCACCTGGGAAGTTTCTGTGCTGAACCTGTGTCTACCTTTAAACAAATTCATCACACACTCTGCATGCTGCTTTGAGGCTGACTGCACACTGTTAAGGCAGCTGTTTTCTGCAGTGAGACAGGAATAGTGACAGTGATTTCTCCTTCCTTTCCCTCAATGCAGGTGACAAGAGAGGAGCAGGATGAGCTCCTCAGCAGGCCTGGGCATTGGCTCTCCACAGCTTAACTCCTGATAGAGGAGAGTTGTTACAGTCACCCCACTGGTTATGCCATGAAGTGGTGCTGCTGTCTTCTGGTGTCTGGGCTGCAAGTCCAGCAGGCAACAGGGTACCCACCTCCTCACAGCCTAAAAGGAAGCATTTTGTCCCCAAATCAGCTGTAGTCTCCCACCCCTTGCTGAGGCAGTGGCACCATTTGGGTTCCCAACACAAAGCAAGAAAGAAGTACACCATCCCCTCTTCCAACAGACCCATATATGGAGGCTGGGGGGGCTCAAAAAGGACAAATTTGGAGTAAGTCTCTACAGCATAGAAAAAAGGCTCAGGGAATTATGCAGGAGAGTAGCTTACGTGTATCCATGATGCTGTACTGAGAATGTGTGCAACTGTAATCCTACAAGTATCACAGAATCACAGAATATTA